CTTTCTCATGAAGACTTCTGTTATAAAAGTTTACTATTCTCTGCATTAAATGGCACTCAGCACTCAGCATCCACTCCTCTTGTGTGTGAGTTGTCTGTCTGCCATCTCCCCATCCTATTCCAGGTTCCTCCCCTAGGTGTCCTCCGTCGTCCCGACAGAACCCGGTCCGCGGCAGGCTCTGTTCCCAGATCTATTGAGTCTGAAACTCCTGGGGTTAGACTCAGACTTTTATGGTTAATAAGCTCTTCAGGAAAGTCATTTCTACATGGTTGAAGTTTGGAACATCTGACTCTAAGGGATTTGTTATAATGAGTGATGAGGGACCCACAGAGGGCTGCCTCTGTCATGTTTCAGGGCTCTCTGCCTCCCTCCAAATGCTCATGGGTCCATCTAAAGAAGTAATGATGTGTTCATTTTGGAATTCATTAAAGAAAACAGTCTGAATTTGTCTAAATGGCTTTTGGGAACAATGCTTTACATGTTTATCAGCTGCCATTTCTTAATGCTTCTATGTCCAATGCTTCTATCCCCCATGTATGAATCCAATTATTCATCATTTTTAAAAAGCATCTTGATGTTTCTCATTTGAGAGTGTGCATTCATCTTCCATCTCTGCATTCACTTTGGCAATTGCAGGTGCCATACACATTGTAGACATATAATTTGATTTCTATTTGACTGAGGTATATATATTTACATGAGAAATGAATGTATGTTTATGTCCTTAAGTGATACACATTTAAATTCCTGGGAGAAATATTATTGATTTTTGTTGGTGGTGGTCATGGGGCTTGTTCTCAGGGCTTGGATGCTATCCCTGAGTTTTTTTGCTCAAGGATATCACTCTAAAACTTTCAACTACAGTGCCACTTCTGGTTTTCTGTTGGTTAGTTGGACATAAGAGTCTCATGGACCTTCCTGCCTGCACTGGTGACTTTTTTCTTATATTGTTCTTTAAAAATATAAGACAGCCTTACCATTCTGCTCAGCTTGACATTTATTTATTTTTATATTTATTTTAATATATTGAAAAACTATATTGTATGTAATGTAACTTTCTGTATAATATATAGAGCATATAATATATAACAATTATATCATATAATTTATTATATGTTTATATTATGAGATATATAAATTGTATGATAAATTATAAATATAACAGTCATTTTATATGATAAGAGTAATTTCTATTACTTGATTTGGCTATTATAAAAATAATTATATTAATTTCTAATTCAAAAATATTATATAGAACATTGTATATCATATTCTATAGATACATTTTGCTATATAATAATTGTTCTATATCATACATTAAATATTACAAACTTCATATTATATTTCATATATTATATATGATATTTTTCATTATGTTCTTTAAATCACATACTATGTATTATATATTATAGATGTGAATACAAGTGTGAGCCATTGGTGCTCAGCATATTGTCTTTTAAAGAAGGAGTTAGGAGAGGATGGCAGATTAGAAGCACCAACACTTTTGTCCCCATGAATGTGAAGAAACAATATACACAGGAAAGAAAGTAAAGCTATGGCTCAAGTGTTAGGATGCTAGCCTTGAGCAGAAAAGCTCAGGACAGAGCCCAAACCCCTAGTTCAAGCCCCAGGGCCAGCTCAAAAAAAAAAAAAAGAAAGAAAAACCGTGAAGATTATATTGTAGGGAAAGAAAGGGAGGAAGAGCATTGGGAATCACAAAGGTGGTAGACAGACAGCAGAAAAACATAGAGAAATGAGGACAGTTTTTTCAGTGTACAGATACTCTGCATTCATTAAAATAAATACAATCAAGCATGTTGTATATGTTAATAAAAACATGTACAATCATCTGTTAATATGTAGTGTTTCATATCATGTATTGTATATGTATTACCTTTAAGTAGTTGTACAAGGGACTTCAATTCAAGAAGTCAGTGTATCCAGGAGCCCGTGGCTCACACCTGTAATCCTAGCTACTCAGCAGGCTGAGATCTGAGGATGTCAGTTCAAAGACAGCCCAAGAAAGAAATCTGTGATACTCTTATCTCCAATGAACCTCGAGATAACCAAAAGTGGCACTGTGGCTCAAGTAGTAGAGTGCTCGCCTTGAGCTGAAGAGTTGAAGGACAGTGCCCAGCCCACAATCTACATGACCCACAACCTACAAAAAAAAATCAGGCTGTGTATGAGTACAAAGCATCGCCATCCTTGTCAGTCTTCCATTTTACTCCTCCATCTCACCCAACCCTACCCCTCCCCTCAAGTTATCTGGTTCCTGGGCTGAGAAGGTGGCTCAGTGTTAGAGCGCTTGCCTTGCATGCATGAAGCCCTGGCTTCGATTCCTCAGGACCACATAAGTGAAAAGAAAAAAAGCCAGAAGTGGCACTGTGGCTCAAGTGGTAGAGCACTAGCCTTGAGCTGAAGAGCTGAGGGACAGTGCCCAGGCCTAGAGTTCCATGACCCACAACCTACAAAAAAAAATCAGGCTGTGTATGAGTACAAAGCATCGCCATCCTTGTCAGTCTTCCATTTTACTCCTCCATCTCACCCAACCCTACCCCTCCCCTCAAGTTATCTGGTTCCTGGGCTGAGAAGGTGGCTCAGTGTTAGAGCGCTTGCCTTGCATGCATGAAGCCCTGGCTTCGATTCCTCAGGACCACATAAGTGAAAAGAAAAAAAGCCAGAAGTGGCACTGTGGCTCAAGTGGTAGAGCACTAGCCTTGAGCTGAAGAGCTGAGGGACAGTGCCCAGGCCTAGAGTTCAGGCCCGACGACCAGATCTCCCTCCAAAAGTTATCTGGTTCCATTTTCACACATGTACCTTGAATATTATGCTTGTGTACTCCCACCCTTTCTTTCTCTATTCATCTGCCTTGCCTCACCTTTACCTCTGTCACCCTGACAAAACATGTTTCAGCTTCCTGCTATTCCTTTTGTTAAACTCTTTGATCTTGTATATTACTAATGAGAATTACTTATTAATGAATATGAAATGCCTCCTTACCCCTGACCCCAGTTTTATTGCAAAGGGCCATGCAGATTTCATCATAAGGCTAAAGCTGGAGTTAAAGGGTAAATGTAGCTCTTGAGAAAATTGTTAAAACCAGAACTCCTGTTTTACAATCTACCTAGGTCACGAACCCCTTAACTGTCTATTTATTTAAATTAAGAGATATACACTGACATCACCTTGCAGTCTTGTAGCTGTCATCTCCTTATCTGGTCAATACTAACTCAACCTGTGTGAAATTTGCCATGTCCACCTTTAAAAACAATATGGAAGGAGCCCAGATTCCCTGTAATAGGAGTAGATACAAAAACAATGTGGTATGTATACCCAATGGAATTTACAAAGCCTTTAGAAAGAATAAAATAATGTCATTTGCAGGGAAATGAATGAAGTAAAACAGATCATGTTAAGTGAGGTAATCCAAGCTCAGAAAGTGGTGCATGTTCTCTCTGCTATGTGGAAATTACATCTAAACTGCACAGGGATATGATAAATTATACAGGATTCTTCAGTGACACCAAAAAAGGAAACATAGGAGAGAAACAAAAAGCCACAAGCCTATGTGCCTCTTCATGTTTACATGAAATTACCTATATATCTGTATCTATCTATTTACCTGTATATTTCTACATAAATAGACTCCAAGATATGGAAACAAGAGACCTCTCTTCTTTTCTGAAGTTTTTTAGCATTTCTTTTTTTGAGGATTCTTTTTTCGTATGTATGGTATATCCAAATATATATCTTTAGGATAGTGGGGGAGTACAAAACTCAGGAAAAAAGGGTGAACAAGTGCAGCAGCAGAGCTCACTAGACACTGATGACAGTGACAACTTGTGGGTAGAGACAGGAGGGAGGGACTGGGAGAGTGTGAGGGAATTCAAACAACATACAGGGTAGTGGGCAGTTAGTTGTGTCTTATTTTTTCTCCAATGAATATTCTTTCTTTTTTTTTTTTTTAAAAAAAAGGTGTTCAAGTAACATAGAAGCACAAAACCTAAAGTGTGTCACAGAATTTCTTTTCCTAACCTCTCAGAGGATCCCAAATTTCAATCTATCCTTTCTGGGCTGTTCCTGTCCATATACCTGATCACCGTGCTCAGAAATCTGCTCATTATCCTGGTCATCAGTTCTGAACACCAATTCCACACCCCCATGTACTTTTTCCTCTCCATCCTGTCCATCAGTGGCGTTGGTCTCATCAACACCATTGTCCCTAAGATGCTAGGGGACATACAGAGTCACAGCAGAGCCATCTCTTATGTGGGCTGCCTCACACAGATGTCTTTTGCTATCATTTTTGGAAATGTGAATGCCACGCTTCTAACGGTGATGGCATGTGACAAGTTTGTGTCCATTTGTCACCCTTTAAAATACACAGGCATCATGAACCCTCATGTCCATGCACTCTTGAATCTGGTGTCTTCCCTCATTAGCATTTTGGAGTCGCAGGTGCACACTCTGATTGCCTCACAGTTTAGCAGCTTCAAGGATGTGGACATTCATAATTTTTACTGTGACCCTTCTCAAGTGTTTTGCCTTGACTGCTGTGAAATGCTGTTTAAATAGGGATAGAGGTGGACCCATTGCAACAATGAGATGTACAAATCATTATGTTGAAAAATGAACTTTACAACTTTGGCATGGGGAGTAGGGGGGCAGGAGTAGGAGTGAGATGTGGAAGGAATAGGAAGGGGAAACAAAGGAGAAGGTAACAATGCTTGAAAAGAAATGTACTCATTATCTTGCCCATGTAATTGTAAGCACCCTATACGGTATTTTCACAATAAAAAAAAGAAAACAAGAAACAAAAAAAAGAAACTAGCCCTATATTTTGCTGGTTCCCTATTCATGTTATTTCTTATCTCTGAGATCATTTTTTCTTACTATAAAATCATTTCTTCTATTCTGAGAATCATATCAGCAGGTGGGAAGCATAAAGCCTTCTCCACCCGTGGCTCTCAACTCTGCATAGTATGTTTATTTTATGGAACCGCCATTGGCGTGTACCTTGGGTCAACAGTGTCCTATTCTCCAAGGCAACAAACAGTGGCCTCAGTGATGTACTCTGTGGTCACCCCATGCTGAACCCCTTTCTACAGCCTGGGGAACACAGAGATTCAACACGCCCTGTGGAAATTGCAGAGCAGAACTATCTAAGCCATTTTTGGTGGTCAGAAGTTCCCTTCAGCTAATATGTTTATGGCTGCATTGTCCTCATCTTGCCTTTGCTCTCATGTCACCATCCATCCAACCAATTGTCTATGTTCCACTATCTCTATTAAAGTTACTAGTTGGGTTTCTATTTCTTGACAGAATCCTGAGTGATAAATCACACCATGTGAAAAATACTCAACTTATGACTTGTCTGTAATTTAAAATGTCTCAAAACACACTCAAGGAGGCAGTGCTGTTGGCTCATACCTGTAATACTACCTACTCAGGAGCGTGAGATCTGAGCATCTCAGCTTAAAGCCTGCCTGGGCAGAAAAAATCCATAAGACTTTTATCTCTAATTAACTAGCAAAAAGCCAGAATTAAGTCTTCAACTTAATTAAGAATGTCAAGGGAGAGCACAAAGCCCTAAGTTCAAGCTGCAGTACAGTCACACAAGAAATGTATTTCTAGAATTCAAAATTAATCTGATATTAAAGAACCTGTGATCTTCAGTATGCTACGGTTGTACTTAGCTTGCTTCTAAGAAGTGTTGTGGTGTTCAGTGAATTTAAGTGAAATCCTGTACTACAATATGGAGTCAAATGTCCTAAATCAGAATTTAGTCCATAGTCATATAATAGGGAAACTGTCATTATCAAAAAAATTATCACTGTGAGGCTGTGGCTCAAGTCGGTAACTCTAGCTACTCAGGAGTGTGAGATCAGAGGATCTAGGTTCGAAGCCAGTCCAAGCAAGAAAGTCCATGAGACTCTTATCTCCAATGTATTACCAAAGTAGCTGGAAGTGGAGTTCTGGATCAGGTGGTAACTTTCTAGCATTGAATAAAAGAAGCTCAGGGACAATGCTTATGCCCTGAGTCTAGCCCCTGGACAGGCAAAATAACACTAATTATATTTATACATATATAGTTCATGGATAACCCAACACATATGCTTGTAGTTCAAAGCTGTTTTTCAACATTAGCTGAAAATTATAAACTGAGCAGACTGGGATATGTTTTTGAGCTCTTAGGCCCCAAATCCCTCATTTTTAATGGTGCTTAGCTGGGGAGACAAACAACAGAATAGATAATATCCACATTGTATAGGAACTTATTTATTTTTTATTAATTTCTTTTTTTATTTTGAAAATAATTTACAGAGGCGTTACAATTACATGGGCAAGATAATGGGCACATTTCTTATCAAGCATTGTAGCCTCCTCCTTTCTTTCCCCTTCCCATCCCTTCCCATCCTCCCCCCGCCCCTCCACCCAATCACCCCTGCCCCCCTCTCTCCCCGTATAGGAATTCAGTAACTACAAGTATGGTCCTCCTCCTCCTCCTCAATATCATGATCTTGATTGTCATCATCATCATCAGCAGCAGCAGCAGCAGCAGCATCAACATCAATAGGATTATTGAGGCATTTCAGTTAGCTACCTGAACCCCAGTAGTGCTTCATCCTCCTGCGAAATCATCACGTTTTTATCTTTACTTATTTTGTAAAATTATATTTGTTTTGTGCCAGTCCTGAGACTTGAACTCAGGGCCTTGGGAGCCCAGAGGTTTATAAGTATAAGCCACAGTGCCTACCTGAATTGATTTCCTTCTTGACACTGGGACATTGATGTCCCTTCTATCCTCCTGGAGAGGTTCTTCCACCCTCTACAATTTAACAGTTACTGGGGAGGGGTGTTACAGGGACTCTTTTTAAGCCCCTCCACACTCCTGCTGTACCTTGCCAGATTGGAAACAGAGCTGTCAGCAAGTACTTTCTCATTGTGCCCCAGGGTACTCTGCTGTTGTTAAGAAGGGATCTGCTTTCTAAATTAAGTGTTTCTTTATATATCCCACCCTTAAAATCCACCCCTATTTTTCTCCTCCAGAGCAAGCCAGACTCAAACAAGCCCCCATCCCAAACCCAATCCTCTGCTCCCAAACTCACTTTCTAGAAGTAAATTCCCTTAGCTTGGGACAGTTCAGGACACCCATCCCCATTGCCTCCCACTGTGACTCAGTTCTTTTTTCCCTTAAAGCTCTCACATTCTTTCTTTAAACCCAAATGAATATCCCCTCTTTCCTGCTACCCACTGAGGGCCAGAGCCTATTATCCTTCACCTACTTTCTGCCTCTCTCCTGATTCCCATTCACTCTCCCCACTAGCCCCCATTTTAAGAATTAAAAAAAAAAACAACTAATGCTTCCTACTGCTTGCTTTAGGACCTCTGAAAAATTAATCAGAGTCATCTCATCTGTTCTCATTGTATCCAACCCTCCTCTCCCACATCTCCTCTAACTCCCCAGTGTTTTCTGTTTTTGATTTAAAGGACACCTTCTTTATTATCCCCTTACACCTCACCTTAAGAACCCTCTTTGCCTTCATCTAGGAAAGACCCGGATATTCTGCAAGCTCAACAATTAAACCAGGACATTATCGCCTAAAGGTTTTAGATAGAGGCTCCATTACTTAGGCCAAACCCTACAAAAGGTTTTGACTAATTTCAACCTATTCCTTAGTTTTCTTCTCCAATATGACCTCCTTCTCTTCAGGCTTTCAGCTGAGCTAACTGTCAAGCATCTGCTCATTAGTTGTTCATAGGATCTATTCTCTTGGAATCCTCCCTTATGTGTAACATTTTTTAGTTAGTTTTTTTCGTGTTTATAGTTTAGACTTAACTTCCATATCTGGCAAAATCTGCCATACTGTTACATATATAAATCATATACTTTGCAATCCATATGTAAAGATACACAATCTCTATTTCAATTTGATTATTCTTCAATTTCTTCTCATTTCATTCTCCCCCCACCATTATAGTGTTAAATCAGTCTTTCTAAGGCATTGCTTTGATTTTTCTTATCACCTGATTTTAAAAAGGCAATGATTTTCTACCACCTGAACTTTTCACTCTTTAGGTACACAGCTCTTCCTTCAGCTTGGTCCTTATTAGGGTTTGAATGTATCTTCTCTGATATGAGAGTATTAAGAGGTGAGGCCTTTACAATTTGATTAGGGAAATGGAGGGACAAAGTGAACCAATGCATGAGTTGTACTCACTAGACACTATGTTCTAAATGAGCTATACAACATGTGGTTGGAAATGGAGGAAAACTGGGAAAGAGCAAGGAAAGAGGTGACATTGTCCAAAAAGAAATGTACTCTTTACCTGACTTGGGTAAGTGTAATCCCCCTGTATATCACCTTTATAGTAACAATGAAAATTTTAAATTTAAAACTAGTAATAAATATCTTTTAGGAATTAGTAAAAAGTAAATATCAAGCATTCCACTCTCCTTCTTAACTCTCTTGTTTATTGGGGCTACAGAGACTTGAAAGACAAGGCCCAGTTATGCCAGATGTTAGTCACACTTGGGGTCATTATTTCACATCAATGACGAGCTATACCTCTCTGCAGAATTCAGAAACTCCTCCATTACTGCTGCCTCTGTCCAACTAAGGCTATCTGGCCTTTCTTGGCCTCATTAACTTCTTTCACATCTGGATTTCCAATTTTTTTCTTATAGCCTTTCCCTTGAACTCTGCCACTTAAAAGGGCCCATGCTTACCAGTAGTGTTTCTAGAGCATTTTAAGAACTGTCCTCTAGGTTTTACATTGACTGCTCTGTTGCCATTTCCAAGTGGGCAGAACAAGCCATAGAAACACAAGAAAAATGGCACGTCAAGGAGCCTCAACTTCCATTCCAAATAAACAGGCAACAGATTTTGTTCTCCTCAGGGAGCCTTCTGAATGGTTGAATTGTTCCTTCTCTCATACTATTTAAAGAACATTGACAGATATTGAATCTGAGCATGAGCTAATGTATTTTCACCATCATTTGGATCATTTTCTCTTTCTCCATCTATTAACATTGAGGATTGTTAGAGAGTGAGGTGACAAGGTTCAGCTCTGACAGTCAATCTAAATCTATCTTCAACTTCCAGTGTGAAATAATCATCAATATCCAAAGTATTCCTCCAGTGGTTCGTTTGGACAGCTTAAGTCATGTTGATGCCCTGGCACTTTTTCCAGGAAAAGGTACACATAGAGATTCCCATTGGAAACGGGGCTGATTAATATCGTGATCTAAAATACTAAAGGGAGAGAGGGGGGGATAGTTAAAGAGAGAGAATGGGTTTGTGTGTGAGAGATTTTTTTAGGAAAACACACTCAGTAATATTGCAAAACAGCAATATGTGAACAGAAATACACAAATAGCTCAGAAAATATACTAAAGTAATTGGAATCAAAGCATGGAAACTTTTACCAAGGTGAATGTTCATATATAAGTGATAAATATAGTGATATGCAAGCAGTAATATAGCCTACATAAAGGGAAAGGAAGAATTACTGTAGTTTTTATACTCAAAAGGATGATTGATAGAATAAAGGCAGGTTACATTGGAGGAAACAAAGGATATCTAAGATAAAATATAAATGTACAACATTAGATGGAACCTTGCTGTACCTCTAACATAACGAGCAAAATGAATGAGTTAACTTATTTGTTGACAGAATTCCTCAAGTTAAATGGATTTTTGGCTGCCAAAATTGTATACCTTTGTCTCAGAACTTCTAAGAATTCTAGACAAAGATATATTCATCTTAAGATTGATTTCTTCCAGGTGATCTTTCCCTAAAACTGTGCAGGGAATTTCTCTCAGGTCTTATCAAGATGATGTAGCACTTGGGGGCAAAGATGCAGCCCAGGAGACCTCCACTGGAGGCCAAGATGGAGAAGACCTCCATGGCGACCATGACCTTCCCCTTAGTGCTATGGTAGACAGGCAGGAAGGTGAGCCACACACTGCAGAACACCAGCATGCTGAAGGTCAGGAACTTGGCCTCATTGAAGATGTCAGGCAGGTTCCTGACTAGAAAAGCAACTGTGAAGCTGGCCAGGGCTAGGAAGCCCAGGTATCCCAGGACAC